AAATCATTTAAAAAAAATAAATGCTAATAAAATTTAGGAAATCAAGTACATAATTGAACTCTAATGTTGCGGTTCATTTTCTCAATATAATGTGACCCCCCCCCCAAAAAAAAATTGTTAAGACTTAACTTTTTTTGCATTTTTCCGGAATCCCCTTAAATCAAAGTAAGCATAGATTAAAGAAAGATCATTTCAAGTGTTAAAAAGGTAAACGCTAAATTATCTGCAGACATTAACACTCGGTCTGGGATCCTCGTCCAGCACTCAAGGCTGCCACGATGAAATTGCAACAATTGCGTTCTTTTTTTTTTTTTTTTTTAACGAACGTTTCTGGTGAAGGTTAATAAAAATAATTTTTTCAAAGTTTTCAGTTAAAATTTTTCACGGTTTTTTGATTAGAATTCGAACGATTCTAAAGGCGAAAATAGTGCGAAAAGTTAACTTTCACATTTACAGGACTGTCCTAGTCATGGTGAAAAGGTTGTTTTCAATAAATTCTCTGCTTTGTTTTTAGAAATTTAGTAACTGGAAGTAAGTATGTCAGTATTTAAGAAAATGGAGCCAATGTCATCTTTTTTTTTTTTTTTTTATTATTTTTCTTCCCGAAACAACATGGGCATGAAAATTTTATTTAAGAAATTATACATTGTGTTATGTTAATCAGTAACCGATTTGCTAACATCATAGAAAGCTTGTAGTTTTGTAAGGCTCTTTTTTGTTAATTTAACTAATTATTATGATTTAGAACTTTACTGCTACTTCTCCTTTCTGTTTCCCTACCAGAATGCAAATTAGTTCAGGAGTATTTAAGGGAAGGTTTTTGGATTTTAAAACAAGAGCATGTTTTCGCCAATTGAGATCACATTATTAGGTTTTTCGCTAGGTCAGTTAAGATTGTCGTCTTCAGCTTTGTATTGTGATTGCCGACAATTAAATTGTTACGCTGGTGGAATCGTTGAGACAACTTCGTGTTAAATAAATTGTTTTATTTAAGTAATTGTTAAATAATAATATTGTTACGAAATGTAAAGGTGCGGTAAGATAGCTTCTCCGCAAAGCAGTTTTAGGGTTGCCATAAAATTGTATTTGGCAAGAAATCTCACATTTGGCGACATTTGGCGATAAAATTGGCGATATACCATGGACGGATGGAGAACTTTCTGGAACGAATTCTTACCGGTTTAGCCCAGAATGTTCTCGAACACAAGCCAAAAGCTATATCAACCCTGCTGGTCCGCAGTCAGTGTCTCAGAGAGTGCCTCGTCGAGAGGGCGAGTGAGTGTATCTCGTCTAGAGTGCGAGTGTCTCATCTAGTTAGTCCGTGCGGTGACGATCGAGTTAGCAGCTGGCCAGCGAGTGCCGAGTGGGTCGTCGAGTGCACCGAAGGAGTCTCTAAGTGCATCGTCGAGAAAGCGTGTTGAGTTCCGGGAACGACTGAACTGAAGAGTCGGGAGCTGTGCTCTGTGTCTCGAGTGCATCGCGAGTTCTTGGAGTTCCGAGAACGACCAAGCAGAGTCGGGAGCTGTACCCTGGTGCTTTGCAGTGAAGCTGTCTTCACCGTGATAGCCTGATAATCTGAAGGCTGTGTCGCTGATTGTGTCAGCGTGTTTATAGTAATTCAGCGACGACTGTAAAACGTGTTTTGGAGCTGTCCTGACAATACTGGCTAATAAAGTGTGTTTCGATACTTCATCAAGTAATGCCGTCACTATTCACTCCAAATCCGCACGAACCCCGTAAGAACGTGAAGGAAGGAAATAACGTAACAACTGGTGTCAGAAGAAGAGGAAAAAGTAACAATATTGTTAGATAAAATAGTTTGAATTTGAATTTAACTGCGACTTTATATCGTCCCAGATAGTTGGCAGACTTTGTTAAGACGTGCATGTTATGTTCAAGGTCTTGATTCAATAAAAGGTTATAACCTTTTTGTAAAAAGGCTATAACCTCTTCTTCAAGTCATTATCGTTATCTTTAGATGAGCCATAATTCACTCCAAGTCTGTTAGGAGTTTCGATACCAGTTTATGTTACTAATAAAGAACACCAAATTCTACAGTTCCGTTCTGAGCTGTTCTAGAAACTACATTGAAAAAGCGGGCGTTTTTGTTTCACTTAGATCTTCCTCTAAGACCTTAGGGAGATAGTCACACCCATGGAAGCAAGAAAGAACTACTTACTTCCTACCTCCATGATCCCACCTCAGGCTTTTCCTTAATCTTTTATTAAGGCATTTGAGATTAAAGATATCATTGAAATAGTTCATATATCCTAAAATGTGAGTAATCTTACGGAAAAATAAACTTTAGCATACTGCATTTTCAGTTTGATCTCGAGAATTATAATATGTGTTTAATTCTGACCTTTACGCTTTAATTCTGTTTGAAGGACATTTGCACAGTTAGGTAATGATATTTAATTAGCTAATTTATTCTTGGTACAATGCTACAAGTAGAACAAACAGCCTTCTAATAATCAAACCTTACTGTTTTAACGCCAATTGTTTTATCACCTTGTACTACGATTGCATCAGTTTCTTATTGTTTTTACCGTAGAATAAATTATCTATACTGAATAAAACCATACTAATTGAAATATTTTAAAGTTGACGCAACGAGGCAAAAAAGATGGAATGTTCGAAAATATATTCTAACTTGTTAAAGGACCTTAACAATATTCAGCAGATGTGCCATATCATATCAATCATATTCTTTTTCAAATGGAAATAATAATTATGTATAAAATTTACATTCTGCGTACATATTTGTTGTCTAGAAAGTTCTGCGTATTCAGCTGTCTTATTCGGATTAGGAATATCATAATTTTTATTTAATTTCATAAAATCTATTTATTAGTCCAAAAAGGCAATTTGCCCAGAAGGACTATTAATTTCGTTTTGGCATTTTGCTTTGATTTACGTTTCAAATTGTTGCCACCAAATATTATCGCCCTGTATTATATTTAAAGAAATTAAATAATGAAGAATCCGCATGAATGTATCTATGTTTCTCTTAGTGTGATAAAACAACTGTACCTAGATCCATCCAATTTTGAATAACGTAAATCTTTCACTGAATACGGGCATCTGGTTGCCCTGATTTAGAATTTGTTTTATTATCGATTTCATATTTAGTAAAACTTTAACGAATTTTTGATGAACAAACTCAAGGATTTCAGAGCGAGCAACGGCAACGTTGTACAGAAAAAACATTTTTATCTCCAATGCGCGAGACTATGTATCAGAAATCCTAAAGATATGCTCATTTTAAAATTATAATGCGATGCTGCTATTGAACTGAATTTTATGGTTTAAGTGCGTAGATCGTGACATTTAATAAACAAAGGTAACACACATAATGTTAAAAAAAACGCCCCTTTGGGCGTAATTTAAAATCTGAAACCTTTCAGATTTTTATTATTATTATTTATTTAATACTTTTGGTGAGTGTAATTTTTTAAAACAAAGTTAGCGATATTTTATTTGACTTCGCAATTAGGGAGATAAATAATATTTGAGAGAAACCACATTTTTATTAACATCTCGAAGAAGTTCGTTGTTTTCGCTCTGCGAAAGCGTCTTAAAACAGAAGCTATTACACCTGTGTCCCAATAAAACGGAAGCTGTTAACACTCGCTCATATGGCTTACAGTAAATATTTTCGGCACGTTACGTTCATGCTCAAGTGATCAAATGAAAAATGCGTAACTGTATCTCGAATATTTATTTCTTTTCTCCATTAAATCAGTTCTAAAGTCTCCACGTGGCATTGATTTATGATCTAATAAAGCAGCATTTTCTGTGGTGATTGAAATCTCGCTGTCTGACCTCTTTGGTGTGGAGAGAGAAAAAAAAATCACTTTGAATCGTTCTGATAGGTTTTCAAAATTCAATGGACGCTCACCTGGTATATACTTACCCTCAATACGTTTCAAAAAAATAACCGTTATTTCTATCTATGCTAATCTAGAAATTATAAGCCGCTGAAGTGGAACAGTAGTAGTCCGGGTTCGAATCCTAGAGAAGGCATGGATGTTTGTAAATGCATAGTGTCCGTGCGACATGGGGGCACTCTAAATATGCGATGAACCGAACGTCCTCTCGAGAGGTTAGTGGTAGAAGTGAAGGGATGGGAGCCAACGATAAGAGCATTCTTGCACTCCTTGCCACGATGAATTTCATGTTCTCCTCATGTTACCGTCAGACAAGTCAGTCACAATAACAACGACAACAACAGAAAATATGATCAGTTTTGAGCGAAATACTTGTCAATGATTCTTTTTTAATGGAGTAGGATTTTAGATTTAGAAATCTGTAAATAACCTGCTATTTGCAACTTCACAATCCCTCTCCGTTAATTTCATTACCCAAAATTTTGGTAATAAAGTAATTATCAGATAAGAGCGTTCTGAAATATAAATTCAGTTAGTGCAATGTGTTAATAGAAAAGTCCTTATAGGCTTCAGTAAGCTATGTGAATGTGAAATTCCAAATGAACTTTCTTTAGATGAGACTTAAATATATGTAATCTATTATCTTCTGTTGTAAGCGGAATATACATTTTAGATGTATAAAACTGCAAATGTTTTTATGAAAGGAAAGTATTTCCTGTATTTTATTATACTATGACTATCTCCCTGAACTATTACCATGATCGGAAGGGGTAAAAAACAAATATCAGTCATATTTTATAACTCATAAAGAAGCTTCACAACCGAAATTAAAGCTTACAATTTGATTCAAAAGATTTTTCAAATCCATAACATTGTAAATATGGTCTTAGGAGAGGATAAATGTTACCTAACTGTTCATTAATTATCTTAGAACTGTATTCAAATTTAAACCATCTTATTTAATTGTGCCTTTAGTTACGCATATTCTTTATATATGCTTTTCAAAACTTTTGCAGGTATTATTTGTGAGCAAAATATTTGTTACTGTGTACTTCGGTTTTCCTTATCTTTTTCCCAAAGCAATGATTAATATTGATCTCTTTATTATAGGATTATCGCAGTCAAAGAGGAACCTGAAGATGAACCTCCAACAGTTGTGGTTGCTTCTAATCAAACTCCTTTACCTTCCATATCAGAAGAAAACTGGAGAGCTTATTATCAGCCACCTTTGGTGGTACTTAACGGAGGCGTCGAAGATGGAGTCAGTACTATCTATGAGACATATAAATTGCCACCTCTTGCCAAGTTCGGAAAAGGGCTGGTTGGAAAATTACCCGCAATCTGGAGGTAAGGCACTTCTTTTAAGCCTTTTAGTGGATACGTTTTTATCGCCATCATCAGAAAATGTGAACAATCGTAAAATTTTATGATGCGTAAAATAATTTCATTCATATCGTTGAGTGTCTTTGATTGATTCGTTGGTTAATTAATTAGCAATTATAGCAAAGCAATCGAGGGCTACCTGTTGTTGGAAATTGCTGCATTTAATGAAGGATTTTCTAACAAAAATTAGTTCGCATTTATATTGCGCGAGAAGAAAACTAGCAGTTAGTCTCAGTTGCCGATTACATGAAAAGTGAATAAGGAAAGTATAGCTAAATGAGTTTTTGTTGAATACGAATAATTGTCTAGGCCAGTGTTTCTTAACGTGGGGCAATTCGAAAATAGACTTACCCAGAATTTAAGAACAAGGGACGTTCAAATTTCCAAATTTTCTTCAAGAAGTTGAAATTTTAATTTTTATTCTCAAAAATAAATAATAATGCAAGAGATGTATACGTAAAAAAGTTTTTAAATTGCTGTTCATTTTAAAAGTTTCATATAAGAATTTTCGCTGTAGACATGGACATTTGAATGCTTAGATATTTCTTCCTAAAACCTATCATTCAAGTTTCTTTCGTGAACATTTCAATTTTTGAATATTAAAAAATACGTATATGCTAGGGAAAACATAAGAGAGGATTTGGTGCGGCATAGCACAAAAAAGATTGGGAAACACTGGTCTAGACACAAAGGAATAAATAAAAAATAAAATGTTCATGTGGAGCTGGTTCATGCTCTATTAAGAATTAAAGCCTAAAAATTAAGAATTCCTTTACCTCATCCGAGAAGTTATCTTTCATTCTCTAAGACTTGCTTCATTTTATTTTGGTAAGTTTACTACTTGTTTTCTAGTCTGTTTCCCTCTTCTATAGCGTAAATTGAGGATTCCTACAATTATGTATACAAGAGCTGGTATGTACTGACACTGTGCGAGCAGCTTTCTCTGGTTGGAGGAGAACAATAATATATTGAATTACATTATTTGAATATGGAAAACTTGTTAAGATTACCTGCTAATGTACTTTTCTGTAAGAAGGCAGAATATGGCAAAAGACGTCTCCTTATCTTTGTTCAGTTATGAGAAGGGATCATTGAGACTTGTTGAGAGCATAGAGACAGAAGTGATATCTCGACCTTCATGGGTGAGGAAAACTGACCTATATTTATGTTACATCGAAAAACTTACGCAGCTGACTACGTTCAGAATCATGTGGCTTTAATTATTCAACTACTATCGCTTTCAACGAATAACGGAGTCCTAATGGATTGCGGGGATTTTACTTTCTTGCACGAAGTAAAGGAGGTACTGTAATTGCGAAAAATTTCGGGTATCACATTTCAAGGAAAATATCCATTTTGACCGCTCTTGAATCAATTAAACGATGTTTTTGCGTGACATCTGTACCTACGAACAGAATACGGGTTTCTTTTTGCTAAACGGTTTGTAAAATGGATTCAGAAGAGATTTTGTTCATACATCTCTATGTACGTATGTATGTATCTCGTATAGCTCAAAACGAGTAACCGTAGAACGATGAAATTTTGTATATGGGCCTGCTGTAACATGTAGTTGTGCACCTCCCTGTTTCGTAGCAATCCGCCGCACCAAACGTATGTGTGTGAGTACATATATATATATATATATGTAATGATATTTTAAATCAATTGATTAAATTAAATTCTAATAATATGCTTAATAATGTGTTGGCGATTCTCTACCTAAATTGCATCCCGTTCCTAAATTTTGGCGAAATCCTTCTTTAGTATAAAATATATTAACCTGTTGGCGCCCGCCAAATCGCCAATGTCATAAATCTGTCATATTACATAAAGTCCTTAAGAACACTCCTGATGAGAAGATAGCGTCACCTCGTGATTTCAATTAATGTCGCTGACTGGATGAGCCTCGTGACGCACACATATGTATAAGTAGGGCTTCTGCTCAAGGTACAATTAGAACGCTTGTGAGAGGGATGCTAAAATAAACCTAGCACTTTATATTCCAAAATTTGTCTCATTCCTGTTGCCCCGGCTGCACAAAACAAATAATATATGAGAAATTACATTTCATATATATATATCATAATTATAATACAATTTTTTAAATTCTGATATAATCATATCTAGTATTTTTGCACATTAAGCTACTGAAAAATATCAATAAAGGCTAAAGTAAAAAATTCAGAACCACTTTTATCAAGACCAAAATTTGAAATTCATAAGTAAAAATTTAATAAAATCCAATAAATGCAAATAGAATTTAATGTTAATATACTAAAAACTTTAAACAAGGAATACCCTAAATTAAAAATTCAAAGAAAGTTAAAGAAAAGAACATAACAGAAGAAGACTTCAATCAACTCCAATGCTACTTCGTCAGGAGGAGGAACACTGAAATCAATTGAAATCTCTTCTTCCACAAAAAAAGCCTTGCTTTTCTGTATCCCGAATTAGCCGATGAACCATTCCAATGTATTTTAATTATAATAGTTCACCCGAAAATTCTGGCCCCTCCCCGAAGAAAGGTAAAAAACAAAGTAAATTCTAAACATAATTCTACTTTTAAAGAAAGAGTACTTTATCCAAAGAATTGAAACCGAAAGTGAAATAACAAAATAATTTAATTTAAATTTCAAATCAAAATTTCGCCTTTAAACAAAGAATTGGTGGATATTCTAAATATGTTGTTTAAGTAGTACTAAGCTTTCTCCGTTTGTTTCGAGAATAGGGGCTGACGCTCCTTCTGGGCTTTTTAAAAAAAATCTTGCTTTATCTTCCGACAGTAATACAAAACAAAGTGATTAGCAGACATTATACATATTGCCGGGGGCATTATGTTTAATGGCTTCAATTAACAGCAAAACTTTTCCTTCACCCTAATTGCATACAGATATTTAAATTTTGAAACTGAAATTAAAATACTTGTGCACAACTAATTCTTTAACATCTGTTAATTAATCAAAGCTTTGTAATATCTGATTTTTCTCTCAGTTTCGCATGATAGGCAAAAGGAAACTTTAGTCTGACAAAAGAAGAAAAATAAATTCATCTGGAATTAAGAAAGCAAATGTTTCGCCACTGAGCGGTGCAATAAACCCAGCCAGTGATTTTGCAACAAGTAGTTTATTACTCTCCCGCTTTCCTCTGACATATCATTTGAAGGTCTGTGTCATTTCTCATTGGCTGCGAAATCCTCCTCTGAAGACCTCTTCGCGGATGGTTAGTTTTTTATCTTAACAATTTTTATTACTCTAGGTTCCCCTTTTTGTCCCCCAAGTACGTGAGACTGTTACTTGAGAGATTATTAAAACTGAGATGTTGAAATCCGTGGAGATTTCTTTAAGTGGATCCGTAATTCCTGAAGGACTTCCTTCAAATCTGTGGGGCACAACAGTTCGACCTCGAAAAGAGCGTGAGATAAGGCGTGCGTGCGACAATTTGCAATGGTTGGACAACGGTCCAGTGGGAAAAAGACCATCTAAACGTTTTGACGAGGTCTTGAGACAAGGGAACCTATTTGATTGCTTTTTTGTGCTGAGTAGTTTTTCTGCACTGCTGTAATCAACTGCGCTTAGGATAATTGCTAATAAGATTTTAAAGCCTATCCATCCCCCTCGGCAGATTCAAATGGCTAATGGACTTTTTCACAGAGCATGGATACGAATATCCGAGGAAATCCCACTAATGAGAGTGATGACTAACATTCAATTCAGATCGCAATCGAGTGGCCAAATATATTTTTTGGATAGGCAACAGAAATATTTGGCGAATCTTCAGATAATTGTATTTTGGAAAATTTTTAATTAAAAATACGTCGTTATGTTAAAGTATGGTAACTTAATGGAGTCCAGCAATTTTATAAACGGAGGAAGTGCACGCTTAGTTCACACTTTATACACTTCATTCTCAAACGCAGTTATCTCGTCTTAGATCAGTGCTAGAGACTGCTCAAACGGCCTTTCAATAATAGACTGTTAAAGTTTAGATAATCTTCATACCATCTCTAACTTACTGCAGGCAGAGATTGTAAACAGGTCTATGTTGAAAAGTTATGATATTTGATGCAGTAAAAAAATTGCGCAATTTTTATTAAGAATTTTGGGATGTTTGCTATTACAAAATTGCGTTATGGAATTTCTTGTTTTATTTTATGATTATAGAAATTCTATCGTGGAAACATGCTTAATGATTAAAGTTAAGGTACTTAAAACGACAATAATTATTTCACAAGCAGAATTACCTCCTGCACTACACAAATTTAAGTACTGGCAATCTAAATATTTAGATTCTTTCAGATCATATCCAGTTCAGATAATCGAAAAATCAGGACAATAGGTTTGCCTTGTTTTTGTAGTACAAATACGTATTTAGTGTACTATAAATGAGATAGTTAGGTAAACTATAAATGTGTTATCAATACTATAAATTATAAATTTAGTGTACTATTAAAATTTTCATTTGTTATATTTAATTTCAACCAGGGTTTATGCAGGTAGAAGAGAAAGAAATAAGCCTTTTATTTAAAGTACACAAACACATTTTTTGAGAAAATGAAATAATAAAACTTTTTTTAATTACTTAAATATATAACCAATTTTTAATAGAAGAGATATATGCCACTGCAAAATTTAAAAAATAGGCTCTCCCCCCCAAAAAAAAATTGGTAATCCCCCCCTCCTGAAGAAGAGGAATCTGTGTCTGAATGTCCTCGAAATCGATGGAGTTTTATTCAAAGTCAACGCCAAACTAAGGTTATTTAGGTTAAAATAACACGCCGAACAACGATTAATTTAGAAGTCAAACAACAAAAATAATGGAAAATTTGCAAATATAACGCTGATTTTTGTAGGTTTGACTTCTAAATTAAGGTTATTATTATTATTTCCTGCCTAATAGTTGTTGCTGTGTTAAAATAATGGATTACAGGTAATAAAAATCGACGCATTAAGTGTGCATATAATATA